TAATTCATGTTGGGCTTGTTCTTGCGAATTCCCCAAAGACGAGCCACCTCTTCTGCCTGCAGAAGCTTGAACTCCCCATTGTTAGAGGTCCAGCAAATCATGTGCTCATTCTGAGGCTCCTGCAGGAGCTGAAGGAGGAACTGCCACAGGGTGATGGCACTGTCCATAGCAATGGGCCTGGCCACGCGCGGGGCTGTCTCTCTGTCCTGGCCTCCAACGCGATGCTCCTGTCCGCCACCAACTCCTCCTCACCCTCGGAACTCAAGGACGGCGCGGCAGCTGCTGCGACCCCCCGTGACGGAGCCTGAGAAGGTGGCGGCGGCTGAGCCGAGCGCGCCGGGTACCTGCAGCCGCCCGCATCTCCCGCGGCCGTGCACAGCTCCTTGCGAGCCCGCCTCCCGCCCCCGCACGCAGCGGCACTGGCAGTGGCGCAAAGGTCCTCGGCCGCTACCCGCCAGGCGCGTGCTCGGGGCGTGTTCGTCGCCGCGGTCCTTGAACTCACTTTGTAGCCTAGGCTGGCCTTGAACTCCAAACAATTCTTCTGCCTCAGCCTCCCAAGTGCTGGAATGACAGGGAGTGCACCACCATGCCTGGCCATTATCAAATTTTTGGATAGATGATTTTAAAAATTAGCTAACAGCCTTGGCACTGAAACAAATGTGGCATTAAAATCTTAATTTTTATAAATATAGAATACTGTATAAATAAAAACTATTATTGTTCAACTAAGTTATGTAACTAAAATGTACTAATACTACACTTCATATCTATTTTTCATGGGTTTATAGAAGTAGCCTTATTACTCCAAAGGCATTCCAAAAATCCTGGTGATATATATATAGAAAAACACTATGGCTCTTTGTTATTTCCTATATGCTATGTCTGGAGGTATTAGAATATTTCGAGTTTGTATAACTGGAAAATATTTTAGTTTTCAAAGGTATGTTTGCGAAGTAAAAAATTCAAAGAGGACAGATTTTTTTTCCCTTTCAGTCCTTTAATTAATCTAGTTTCTTACACGCTTGGTCTTTCTTTCTTTCTTTTTTTTTCTTTCTAATGTGGAATAAGATGCTATTTAATTTTGGTCTTCCACAGCTAATTTTTTTTATGTATATGCTTTAATGATTTTTTTCTTTACAATAAGTTTTGGACAATTTCATTTTTGTGCATCTGAGTATGATTTTATTCAAATTTCTTGTGCAAAAGGTTCATTTTTCTGTGAAATGTGGTGTTATAAGTTCAACTAAATTCAGAAATTTTGAATCTTTAAATATTTATTGCCTACCTCTTTCTACTTATAATTAGAATTCTAATTATATGAATATAAGTTTCTTGATTTTGACACAACGTGAACTATTATATGACTGATCTGTAAATTCTTCTTTTTTTTTTTTGGTGGTACCAGGGGTTGAACTCAGGACCTTGAGCTTGCCAGGCAAGCATGTATGGCACTGAGCTATCTCCCCAGCCCCGTCTGTAAATTCTTCATTTTTATTCTGTTTTACATTTATTTATTTATTGTGTGTGTGTGTGTGTGTGTGTGTGTGTGTGTGGCCAGCTCAGCCCACCAGGGGGCGGGGCTGGCTGGCATGTGGTGCTGGGGGATCGAACCGCGGTCCCTGTGCTTTGTCAAGCTTGTTTCAAGTAGGTGCTTTAGACCACTGAGCCATCTCTCCAGCCCCATCTTCATTTTTATTTTGGACAATTTTTATTGTTATATTTAAGTTTGTAAATAATTATTTAATGTGCAATCTATTATAAAAAAGAAA